TTGAGCCACAGGCGCCGAGCCGGTGTCACAGTTTTGATATGAAGCCATTTACTCTAAACATCAGTTACATAACCACATTCTAAGCTATAGTTTTTGCAGATATTAAATGATTTGATTATATGCATAAATTAGTATTCATGGGTAATTTTTTTAATAAGGCCAAAAAAATGAATGCTAGAGGCTTTTTTATATCAGCTCATTCATAAAACTCTGAGATAAGCACCATTTACATTATTATCTGCATATTTCAGGTAAGAAAATTGAAGTACAGAAGAGCTAAGTGTTAGTAATTTACTCTAGGGCAGTGCCTGTGGCTCAGAGGAGTAGGGCGCCAGCCCTGTATGCTGGAGGTCGTGAGTTCAAACCAGCCTTGGCCAAAAACTGCAAAAAAAAAAAAAAAATTTACTCTAAATTATAGCTAGTAAGTTAAAAGAAAGGATTTGAATGCAGGCAGTCTGGCTCCAGAGCCACGGTGCTCATACTAAACTATTAATGAAGATAATTGTTTGACAGTTTCACAGTTTAGAACTTTTGACTGTTTGGCCACATCCTCTCGAATCCATTGTAGAGATACTGATACTCATCCCTAGGAATGTATCTACCACATCATACCCCGGCCTTCACCTTTGGGAAAATGAAAACTGTTTCTTATAAAAATGTGCCGTGTCAACGGTGTGCGTCCATTAGAAATCAGGATGCACAGCTTGCTGTATTGATCATGTTTTTGATCCTTGTGGAATTTCAAAAAGTCTTTTATATAACATTGTTTTATTTAACAGCAACCTTGTGATAACTTGTATTGGTACTTCCATTTTCAAATGAAAAGATGAAGATGTGAAGAAATCGAATAAGTTGTGAAAGTTCGTATTAACATAACTAAGAAATCTGATGTAGAGGTGCAGTGGCTCAAAATTTTATGCTTTTGAAAATGCTGTTCTACAGTGACTTATTTTCATTTATGATTAGGATGTTTCTGTTGAAAGCCAAAATAGCTTTCCCGGTGTGTTCTCCATAATGTGAATTTTAGTTTTTTTGTTTTATTTATAGTAAAACTAGAGTGATATTTTATTCATGGTTAACATTAAATTAGATATAAAATTACAAAACAGGCCCAGCACTGATTATTGCAATCTTAGCATGGTGGGGGTTGTGCGTGAGGAGATTACTTGAGGTCAGGAGTTCAAGACCAGTCTGAGTAAGAGTGAGATCCTATCTCTACTAAAAATAGAAAAACTGCCTAGCATAATGGTGCATGCCTGTAGCTCAGCTACTGAGGAGACTGAGGCAAGAGGATCACTTGAGCTCAAAAGTTTGAAATTGCTGTAAGCTATGATGATGATGCCAGGGTACTCTTGCCAAGATGACAGAGTGAGACTTTGAATGAATGAATGAATGAATGAATGAATGAATGAAAGAAATTAGGAAACAAATCACAATGTTGATCTTTAGGGAAAAACCCTAATGTACATGTTAATTTCATTTTTAAATGTTAAAACACATTATTATATATGGTGATTGACAGAGATCTCATCTCCTCACCCTAGTTTCTGCCCATTGACATCTTTTTCTTAAATTGCTTACCTTGAAAATCATAATTAGCTTCCATTTCTGCTCAGATAAGTAGTTGTGCTTCTTGTTCTCTCTGGTAACTTCTTCCAGTAGGTAGGAACAGCAGGGGCTGATTTGAAGCTCTGTTTGCTTATTTCAACTATCTGTTAGATTTTGGATAACTGGTAAAGCTCTGGTGGATTTGAGCAGTATTACCATGGTGTATCTGACAGGGCTAAGTTACAGAAAAATCCAGTTGGCCTGTATGATAAAATGTTTTAAAGCTTGGATTATGTAGACTGGCAGTGATCATGTATTCACTGACAGCAGTGTATTTTGTTACTCTTTCTGCTTTCCTTTTTCTTTGCTTCTTTTCACTTATTTTTGGCTTCCTATTCTTTGTTCCTTTCTATTTCTCTTTTGCCCCTCTGCCTTGTTGCTTTGGGGGTGTCCAACCTGCCGTCCAAGGGTCACTTACTGATTCTGTGAGGACTTTTTTGCTTATCTGTGGTGTCTGATACTGTGAAAAGTATGTTCTAACCTTTTTTTGACTAATCAGCTTTCCTTAGTCTTTATGTATTTAGTGAATGGCCCAAGACAACTCTTATTTTTTCAGTGTACAGTAGAGGGGGGAAAAAAGGTTGGACACCCCATGGCCATCAAAAGGTACTTCTTCATTGGTTAGTGACATTGAAAGAATTTTCTGATTTCCACTGTAGGGAAGAGCTTTGGGGAAGAAGCTGAAGAGGACAGTGAAGGGTAATCACCAAACATGGTAGCCACAACTGTCCTTGGTTCCTTGAAATCCAAAGAAATATTTCATAGATTTCTGGGACTCTGTGTCATAAATACTATTATTAAACTTTGTTTTAGGAACTGCAACCATGAATGAAGAAAATATAGATGGAACAAATGGATGCAGTAAAGTTCGAACTGGTACTCAGAATGAAGCAGCGTTACTTGCTTTGATGGAAAAGACTGGTTACAACATGGTTCAAGAAAATGGGCAAAGGAAATTTGGAGGTCCTCCTCCAGGTGTGGATTTGTTTATATTCTTTTAAGTTTTTAATGTCATTTAGTTTGGGTGTATATCCCCACAAGTGTCCCAAATAATAGCTCTCTCCTTTTAACTGCTTTTTAAGACCTCATCCGTCATTTTTACTGTTGTGAGAGGAAAATAATAGATTATAAATGCTGTTCATGTCTTACCCTTGTTTTTTTTTTTTTTTTTCCCTTGCTCTGGGTCTAAGGAGAAGTTGAGAAAAAAGTTGGGATTAAAGCAGTGGGGGAAAGAATAGGTTTTAAAGAGATCATTTGGGGAGGAATCTGAAAGAGCAGTGAGCAGAGGATGGTGTTTATACCAGAAAACCAAATGCAAACAGCTGACAATGTTTGATCTGCCAATAGCCAGTGTAGCCTCTTTGTTTAAAACCCTCTAGTTAACTTTAAATTCTGGCTTCTGGTTTTCTCAATGGCTGCATCACTTAACACTTTCCTCCATTAAGTGCACTTTAGCCATACAGGCTTCATAGTGTATGTTGTTCTACCTACAGAAAACTTGCTTTTTCTTTTTTCATGAATGCCCCTCTCCCGGATAATCCTCATGGCTTTTTCTCTCATTTCATTCAGGTCTGTGCTATTGAGAACATCACCCCTTATGTGGCTTGATTTTCTTCATAGCATTTATCACTTATTCACTGTCTCCTTTCGGTATTGAATATAAGCTTCATGAGGGAAGGAGCTTTATCTTGGTCACTATTGATCACTCAGCACTTAGAACAGTGGATGACACATATGAGTTTCAGAGCAAATTAATTGAATGGGTAAATGATTGAATGAATAGTGAATATATGTTAGAATTTATATGTCTTGTTTATTTTTGTCTTTTAGGTTGGGAAGGTCCACCTCCACCTAGAGGCTGTGAAGTTTTTGTAGGAAAAATACCTCGTGATATGTATGAAGATGAGTTAGTTCCTGTATTTGAAAGAGCTGGGAAGATATATGAATTTCGACTTATGATGGAATTTAGTGGTGAAAATAGAGGTTATGCTTTTGTGATGTATACTACAAAGGAAGAAGCCCAGCTAGCCATCAGAATTCTTAATAATTATGAGATTCGACCCGGAAAGTTTATTGGTGTGTGTGTAAGCTTGGATAATTGTAGATTATTTATTGGAGCTATTCCCAAGGAAAAAAAGAAAGAAGAAATTTTGGATGAAATGAAGAAAGTTACAGAAGGAGTTGTAGACGTAATTGTTTATCCAAGTGCAACTGATAAGACCAAAAATCGTGGTTTTGCATTTGTTGAATATGAATCTCACAGAGCTGCTGCTATGGCAAGGAGGAAACTAATTCCAGGTAAAGTGATTCTTAAAGGTCATTTTGCCCATATTATCTTTAATTATAAATATAGAAAAATGACAGTACATTGTATTATAGATTAATATTACTAAAATATTATTGCCAGTTGAAGAATAAAGAGCTGAGTAAAGAAGCAAAATACATCAAATGATTCTAAAGGACAAGAAATTTTTCCTATAATGTCATATTTATGATAATTAACTGATACACTGAATGTATACCCTTTAATTGAGGTATTAAAAAACAGCAATACTTAATTCTAATAAAGGTCTGTCTTTGAAGTGTACTTGTTCTATTGATCTTTATATTCCACCATAAATTCTAATGATGCTTTAGTAAAATCTTTTGTGTGAATAGGAAACAAATGATTAACCAAAACACTAATGTGTATTTGAATTTCTGTTTCTCTGGAGAAACTGTTTTAGTGGACATTTTTAACTTTTGTTATTTTAATTCTGTTCAAATTAATTATTTTTTTACAGGAACGTTCCAACTATGGGGCCACACCATTCAGGTAGATTGGGCAGATCCAGAAAAAGAGGTTGATGAAGAAACCATGCAGAGAGTTAAAGTTCTCTATGTAAGAAATTTAATGATCTCAACTACAGAGGAAACAATTAAAGCAGAATTCAATAAATTTAAGCCTGGTGCAGTTGAACGAGTAAAGAAACTCAGAGATTATGCTTTTGTTCACTTTTTCAACCGAGAGGATGCAGTAGCTGCTATGTCTGTTATGAATGGAAAATGCATTGATGGAGCAAGTATTGAGGTAACATTGGCAAAACCAGTAAATAAAGAAAACACTTGGAGACAGCATCTTAATGGTCAAATTAGCCCCAATTCTGAAAACCTGATCGTGTTTGCTAACAAAGAAGAGAGCCACCCAAAAACTCTAGGGAAGCCACCAACTCTTCCTGCTCGTCTCAATGGTCAGCATAGCCCAAGCCCCCCTGAAGTTGAAAGATGCACTTATCCTTTTTTTCCTGGAACAAAGCTTACTCCAATTAGTATGTATTCTTTAAAATCCAATCATTTTAATTCTGCAGTAATGCATTTGGATTATTACTGCAACAAAAATAATTGGGCACCCCCAGAATATTATTTATATTCTACAACAAGTCAAGATGGAAAAGTACTCTTGGTATATAAAATAGTTATTCCTGCTATTGCAAATGGATCCCAGAGTTACTTCATGCCAGACAAACTCTGTACTACATTAGAAGATGCAAAGGAACTGGCAGCCCAGTTTACATTACTTCATTTGGGTAAGTTTAAATACACTTTAAATAATACCCTAGAATGTCAAGTTAGGAAATATTATTAGAGATGATTTAGAAATTAATTAACTTTGAACTCAACATTAGTGGTACTTAACATTAATTTTACTTCAATTTTGCAAATTCATGATAAACTTTGTTGAACCTTACCTCCTGTGTAATTGTCCTACATTTAACTTTTTATTACTTACATAGGAGAAAATTTGGTTTTGTTTTACTGTGGAGTTCGTGACCCTATAGCATTAATTTATTGTTTTTATAATGACTCATCTCATTTGAAATAAAATTTTTTATATATAGGGGTAGGATTTCTTAATTAAGCCAGTTCATAAGAGTGTCCCAGCATTTTTGGTGAAGTCTATACAATGATCTTTGGGGTGGGGGTGGGTCAGGAGTAGGGAAAATCAGCTGTTTCAGATGGGTCATGTGTAGACGCAGCCTTATGCTCACCAATCTGGAAATTTGTCATTATGATTCATGAAAGACAAAGAGCATTATTAAGAGGTGTTTGTGACTATTTTCTTTAATTTCATGCTTTTAAAAATATTAGTTTTCTCAAAAACATTTGAGGAATAATTAAAAAGGCTTTGGGAATGTAAAAATAAGCTAACCAGATACTTGATATTGTAAATGAAGAGACTTAATATCACTCTGGTTTATTTCTACTTCCTGTTTTTATTGTTATGTTAGTCTTTCCACCATACCAATTTGTCTCATTTTTTAGTCCACCTGTAGATTTTAGTTGATTATGTTCTACCCCAAATAATATTTATTAGGTTATTGGTTTCTTGAGAGTCAGCAATTTAAGGGAAAGATCGCCTATTGAGGATTATAATTGTCAGACTCTTAGCTTATAATTGATTTTTCATATGGTTGCAGAACCATGGTTCTAAAGCTTCTATATATTTAAAATTGATAGGCTAAACTTGAGGGAAAACCATTTTCAAAAGGGAGAGTAATTTTTAAACGTTGTACGGACTTCCTTATCTACCACAGGCACAATCATAGTACTATGAATATTTTTAGGAGATTCTAACTTGGAGATCCCATCAAAATTTTAATGCTAAATGTAGGATTCCCATCAAAGAGTCCTTTCAGTAGTGTGCTCCATTATTAGTTTGGCAATAATTTGGAATGTAACAATAACAATCTAATTCTTAGGTATGATTTCGATTGATGCATGAACTAGCAACCTTTTATTTTTCTTTTAATAAAGACAGGTTAAGTTAAAGATAAAATTAGGTGGATAGAAAATAATTTAAATCAGGGTTTTTTGAGAAAAATAGGTTAAAAAGTTCTTTTTATGTAGGATGTATGTAACTAGTTGCTGAGAGAGGTTTTCCCAGGATACTTGATCCTGATGTACCAAGGTAATACGGAAACATTTTTTATTTCCATTCCAAGTCATCCCTTACAAATTTAATTTAAACTTCTAAAATTCTTGTAACATAGTCATCTCAGTCTATTTTATGGCTGATTTTTATGTAGGAATGGTTTGCCCATCTGGTTATTCCTTCTGATCTAAGGAAGATCAGATTCTATATGGAACCAGAAGTTTTTCATCCACTTTTAATTCCCTTATTTGGATGCATTTTACTTGCATCCAAGGGCTATGGTTAACTAGTTAGTAGTGACTTAAAATTTCCTCAGAAAACCCCTGATCAGGTAAAGTATTCTCAACTTGATTATGATTAATTAGTGGTAAAATTAGCTTCAATAAATGAAATCCTTAGAGGGCACATGGGGTTTGCCTTAGTCATCTATTTCAGATTTTATTAACTTTGTATCAATGCTGATTTTAACAAAAAGTTGAACAATTTGTGTTCTATGTATTTCCTCAGGCTATATTCACCATGAGAGAGAAGAGCTAATAAAATGTAAGCAAATGTAAACAAACCTTAGATTAAACCCTAGTGCCTATTTGAGTGCAGTATGCAAGGACTAAGGACTTGTCTGTGGACAGTAATACAAACACCATTATGGTACTTAACTAGAAATATAAGTGAAAGTTGTTGCGTTTCAGGTAGTAAACACGGTTAGGGAACTGAGGAGAAAGGAATTCAGGGAAGCAGAAGAGCCAGATATCAGGGGTCTAGGGAACTTAGATCAGAAAACAAATGTCAGACCTTCAGAGGTCATTAAAGTAGGGACAGGCAGTTCCATGTTGCCACATGGCAAGTTACGAATAGATTGAGTATTGCTACAGCAATTTTCTGGCTCACGATTTTTCCTCTATTGGTATTGGAGCCTGTGGGCTTTCAAGGGTTGATGCCTTTTTTTAGGTATATCTTCCTTTAGGTAAATGTAGGGTTTTGAGGCTCAAGGTTTGGATCACTTGTTGGTAGTGGTGTGGTGTTGGTACCCTTCTGAATATTTTCGTGCTTAAATGAATTTTTCTGAGGTCTTAAGAAGTTGTTAATTGGAGATCCTTAGATAGTAAATCATCTTTTGTTCTATTCAAGAAATCTAATTTCCTAGATAGTGCATTAACTACTATTAAAAGAAATTTTCTTTGGGGTTAGGAATTAAAAAAAAAATTGCCTCTGTATCCTTATTATAACCCTTTCAGTTTGATGCTACTTCAGACATTATTATCTTAACCTTGATGATTTTTGATTACTAATACGTGACATAAACAGTTATTTACTTTTTACTTGGGAATTAAAATAGGTTTTATACTAAATATTTGGAATATAGAGACATCTTTTGCCATTCTGTAGCACTTTTTATTAAATTAGTCTTTTTTAGTTCATAGTTGTTATCTTTTCAGCAATGGATTAGACTATCAGGATTAATAATCCTACTTTTCCTAAAAGTTTAACTATTTTGAATCTGGGCCTCCCCATATTGCCACTGCTTTTTTCTGGAGGACTCTTTGCCATGTAAAGGTGGAATAAGTAAAATCAAGGAGAAAGGAAAATTCTGGAGAAGTTACATTTTTGAAGTAGAAAGTCCTGGAAAATACTTGGTGTTAGAAGGAAGTTAATAGTCTCTTTTGTATTGATAATTCACCTTGCTAAATAATTTATCAACAAATAATTACAGGGAAGGTATCTGTTACCTTGTTTTTATGTTTGCTTAATATTCTCTGATACAAGTGGTATTTTATTCTTACTTGTATCACCACCTAAAGTTTTTAAAAACAGGGATGAAGAGCCTCTGTGTCACAGACTAGCATGTGCCATTGATTTAATTTCATCTCATTTGTGTACTACTGTTCTGGCTCTAATAAATTTTATTAAAGAACAGATCTTTTTCTGAAAGCTTCTTACATACTAAGTATACTTTCCTAAGTATTCTGGAGCTAAAGATAAATGAACCATCGCTTTTCTCCCAAGGAGTCAGAGCCTAGTGAACACGGCAAATACTCAAATTCTGTTCTTAGCTTATTTTGGAAGTTTGAGGAAAGGGTTTATACATCCTACTTGATCTGAGTTGTAAACCTTCAGGAGAGTTTGTGGGCTGAGAGGGACAGAATACAAGCGCACTCCTCTTGGAAAAACAGTGTAGTATTGGCTTAATGGCAAGATGTTCTGCATAATGTTTGCTTTGGTGATTTCAGTCAGATTTTAGAAGAGTTAGAGATACTGAAAAGATGTAGATTTCACTTGAAATTTTATTAGTCTTGCTTTGCAGATTTTTTTTTTTGTAATAAAACTGCATTGGATTTACTTTTACTGAGCAAATAATTTTTTCCTAGGGAAATCTATTTGTGTGGACCATATAATGTGTGAATATTCATTTTTCAATGTCCATGTACTTTTCTGCAGTACTAATTTTGTGGCTGACCATCTCTTACTTGATTTTGAAATGATATACATCATTAGAATCTTTTATTGTTTTCAAGTCATTGAGTGGTATTTAGTATATATTTAAGTAGTAATCATGTTAGTCATTATGTTTGCTATCCTTTAAATTTGGTTTTGATTTCTGTTACTATCTTTAATTTTGTTGGAAGTTATGAAATAGGCAGCAGGGTAAAGGCATGCTATTTTGAGAAGTTTTAGTCTGAAAAATAATTGGTACTTTTTTCCTTGTGAGTTATCGTTATTTCCAGATTGATGGGCAGAAATGCAAAAATAAAAAAGAATTTCAATTAAAAAAAATTACCAATAAGTTGCTTCAATGGATATAAAAGAGAAACTTTCTCCAGGTTTTTTTCTTTTTTAATTTAAGAAATGATTTTGGTAGACACTTAAGCTAAATATAAAATGATTATATCATATTATAATGGAATTATAAATAGAAGAATAATGAATAATAATACTTTCAGACAGGTATACTTTCCAGTTTTAATTATAGCTGTTAAGTTTGATGATACTATTTCAAACTAATAATTTAAAGAACAAAAGTAATTTGCTGGATTTCCTTTAAAATTTATCTAGTTAAATGAGAAATAGGCATCAGCATCAACAATTTACAAATGTATTTGTTTTCATATGATCAAATGGTGAGACCAAAATTCCATTAACTCAACTATGTGTCTTTGACCCTCTTGAGAGGGCCCAGTCTTCATAAAGATGTATGTGTTCCTCTTGAAATTTACTATTACTTTTGCAAGACCTTTAAAATGATCATCTAGTATTGTTCATAATTCTCATGTTACTCACACTTGTATTAATGAACCATAAATATTACTGTAGAGTTAGTATTGTGAGAGAAGCAGCATAATAAGGAGCACTAGAATAAAAGTACAAGAATCCTGTAATCTCAGCCATCAGCAAACTGTGTGACCTTGGAATGGCAAACGAATCATCTAATCTTTGGACCTCAAAGCCTTCACCTCTAAAATATCAGGATTTTATTTGGTGAGCTCTAAGAACTCTTTCATCTCAGAAATTTATGGTTTTGTTTAAAAAAAAAGTATATAAGATTTTAAAAAAGTATATAAGATTAAAAAAAAACTCATATAGGGCCAAAAAAAATATTTTAAAGCATTGTATGTCTGCCAGGATACATAGTTGAGTTCAAATAGTTTAAAAAGAAGA